TATTTTATCAATAAAATTTTTGTTCTCTCAAGCTTCTATTTACCATTTAAGTTTGATTGTTAATTTATTGATAGCAAGCGGTAGAAATTTAAGTGAGCTTTTCAAAATTTACTAATGAATACTATATACAACAACAACACAACAAAGCCTTAATCCCACTATGTGGGGTCGTCTACTTGAATTCTTTTTCTCCAATGTGTCCTATTTAGTGTCATATTTTCATTTAGTTCTAATAAATTAAAATCATTTTTTATATAAGAAGCCCATGTCTTTCTAGGTCTTTTTCTGCTTTTCTTAACATAAGTCGAATCTAAAACCTCTACTCTTCTAATCGGATCATCAGATGGTCGACGTTTAATATGACCAAATCATCTAAGACAACTAATGAATTATATATCTTAATAAAAAAATAATTATTTTAGATAAACCATGTAATTTAACGACCTCATTAAAATATTGTTTAGCAATGTGAAATCTATGAGTGATTTAATGACATTGTATGAAATATGCCTTTTGTTCCATCACTATAAAAATTGAATCATGCTTTATCGATGTTCATGATTCCATATTAGAGCTTTCCAAGAGTTTCTATGGAATTGGTGGAGATGTATTCAATCATTTATTATATTTTCTACATCTAGTAACTTGGCAAATGCTGTATTATAAAATAATATGCCAAATGTATTTTCAAACATAGCCAAAAATACATATTTTCATCCATTACACTGGTCTTATCTCTACAAAAAAATCTATTAGCACCTCCAATATGTAATTTTATGTAGAGGATTGTAACTCAAAGCATTAATAAACTTTTTTTATTTATTTATCATAATATTATGGATTTTAGAAACTCTACATATACGATGTTTTTGCTCTAATTTCTCTTGAAAACATATATATTTTAAAATTTGATAACCATTGTATCTCCAATATTTGAAGGGCCTGCATTATAACATGGAATTTTCTATTATAATTTGAATATTTGTGTCTATCCTCATTAAATTTTTTCACTGAAGAATGTTGTAAAATCTTCTGTGCTTAGCACTCCTCTAGTACATACTTCATGTGCACCACTAGAGACCTTTAATACATTTTTAAAATAAGAAATTTTAACTACATTTGCATCTTTCAATCTTTCTTTGAGTATATTAAAAGCCCAATACCAAATTTAGTCAATTAAAAATCATTTTTATATAAATAATTTGTGTCTGGAGCCATAAAAATACCAAAACCTTTATAATTTGCTTATTAAACATAGTCATATTATGAAAACTTCGAATATTTATGTATGTTAGTAGATTTTAGTCTATGATTAATCACTTTAATTTTATCATAATTAATAGGAAATCCATCTCAAGGCACTATAAATCACAAGAAAATCACATATATAGTTACAAAATAATATTTCTTCAAGTTTAAATACATTTTCTTTGCTTGTAAAATCTCAAATGCATTTTTAAGATGCACCAAATTATTAAGTAACTTGTTATAAATTAAAATATCATCAAAACAAACAATAAGAAGCTTTCCAACAAAAGGCTATAAGATATACTTTTTATTCTCATGAAATTGATATCCTTATCCGTTCATTCAATTTATCTTTAATTTTAAAGGAAATTTTCTACCAATCACCGTTCTTCATGATATCTTGGTGACATCCGCTTCTCAAATCAGTCGTACAAAATATTACAACACCAATATCTCATCTAGCATATTATCCAAATGACGTATAGTAAATTTTATATAATCATGATTTTATTTATGGCTTTGGTATCTCCACATAAAATATTGAAATCAATTTTAGATTTAATTTGAATTTCATTTTGGTAATTAAGCTTTGTTAATCTCAAATTTTGTGAGAATTATCTAGATGCCACAGTAGCTGAGTGTTAGAATAACTAAGCATGCCACCAACTAAAACAAACAAGGAATAAACACCATCAAAGTTTCACAAATCTCTCAACAGAGCTCATACATATTGCGTTTCAAGAAAAGTTGCAAGAGAGATTCGAACTACTATTTTCCCCCAAAATAAGCAATTCAAAATTCAAAATAGAATTCTATTGCCACGCTATAAGTCTAAGTGGATAAAGCCAAGGCTGCTGCCTAAGCTTAGATAATTCCAAAATTCCACCACCAATGGATAATCACATCATATTTTAAATCTATTCTATCCATTATATTTATCAATAGTCAAATCCTAATTTTTTGGCATAAGTTTAATGAATTCAATTATAACATTTTTTAAGGACATCTTCTTACACTACTTCTAGCCATATCTACCCTTCACTTCTTCCTAATCTTATTTTGGGCTAGCTTTATGAATCCTTATTCTCCATTCATCCGCACTATTTTTACATTCATTTTATCCAACCTTATTCTTGTTTGTTAGTTCATCATCTATGTTGGATATGTCCAAATTATTGTTGGAAATGTCCAAATTATCCAAGTATGGTTTCAGTTATTTTATTTCATTTTCTTCTTATCATTCATGTATTATAATCATAAGGCAAGCATAATACGTGCTTTTGTTTTATAAGAGTGATATTCATTGGCAACCCTGCAACTTTTGATAGTTAGGATTAGCCTATTCATTTTTTCTATTATATCTTTCATGCATGTTCTTGAACATTTTTAATTACTATATTATCTCATAAAATAATACTTATATTAGTGGGATGCTTGTGTTCTAATCCCTGATGTGAACTTATTGAGAAAATAGATTGACTATGTTTACCATATTTTTATTTGCACATGAGCTATTCAGATTTCCATAAAAGTTGAGAATAGTTAAAGAGCAGACTTCCTATAACTTTAGTAGTGATTATTATCTATCAGCTTGCTTTTGGGTTGATGAATGTTTATCTACCAATATATTTTGATTGACTTAGAGCCTAGGTGTTCAACTCTCCTTAACATGTGATATTGGAACCAATGATTTGGTTGCAATCAAATGTTTCCTGCAAGTTGTGACTCGCATAGGTCTTTAATATTTTCTACCATAATTGCGTAATGTTTATGAGTAGATGACTTATGAGTAGATGACTCACACATGCTCCACTTGGTTCAGTATTTCAGTGTATGGAACTTGATGGCTTTGAATATTTTTTGTTTGAGGTAACTAGTGGTTGATTTTGTGTGTTCTTTTATAAGGGTGAAATATTGAGATCCACTTAAAAACCAATAATTTTCCACATTATTAATAATACTATTTGTGAGTTGTATTCATTAAAATATACTTTTGGGTTTATGATTGTATATTTATGAATATATTGGGCGTTAATTACTTGATATCGTCAAGGTTAGTATTGGCACTTATGCTCTAAGAATACTAAACAACTTGTTGAGGATTGGTGAGACCGGTCCACTTATCAGATTAGCAGTTATGGGAGCCAATTAATTCCTTGATTTCGTTCCTTGATTGCTTCACCTAGGCTTCCATTTGAGTCTCCCGCCTCCTCTGTGGTTTGCCGGCAAAAGGAAATCTCGCCATCTGCTTTGTCGCGGAACCGCGTCCCGCGTAACCTTCTACCGCGTTCAGTAATTGGTTTTTTAAACAGGCTTTATTAGCTTATTATAAGTAAGCTAATTGCAAAAGCCCATAAACTTACACTCTCTCCAACCTGCAAGCTTTAGTGTTGGGTGTTGACCACGGAAATAGAGAGAAAGAAAGAGGCTTGGTTTTTTCTCTCCATGGTATTCTTCTTCTGTAGCTTCCGGGTAAGAGAGAGAAGAGAGGATAGAGGATAGAGAAAGAAGCAGGTTTTCTTCTTGCATGGCTTTGGTTCTTCCTCCAGGTGGCTCACGAGAGAGAGAGAGAGAGAGAGAGAGGAGAGAGAGAGAGAGATAGAGAGAGAGAGACTTTCTTATAAATGTCGACGTATTCGACGATGTAATCCTCAAAACTAATAAAATCCTCTGCAGCTCTGTGGACATAGACAATTTGCAGAACCACATAATTTTGTGTGTTTCCGCTGTGCTTTTCTGTTTTGCGATTTTTCTCGATCCTGTTTTTCATTTTATTGTCGTCGTTTTTCACAACACAACCAACTTAGCAATAAATTAAGTGTTATTGAAAAGTTTCTATATGAGGAGATTGATGGTAGAACTGGTGCACTCCATTATAATGTGTGAAATGTGGAGGTCCAAATAAGAGTTGAGAATAATCTCACTTTAAAATTAAAAAAAAAAACTTGAGTTCCTAATATAGCAGTAGTGGCTAATACCTGTTTGTTTAGGTTTTTGGGTTGATGGGCGTCCGTCTTCTATTGTATTGCAATTTTTATAAATTTCATAAATCTTTGGTGCTTTCTATAGTATTTGAGCAAGATTCAAATGCAGATGACTCCCATGCAAACTCAACATTATTGAATAGGCTTTTGGTTGATAATAGTTAATGTTGAGGGGACTGATAGCCAACATTGTGGATCCACATACATGGGGGAGATTTTTGAGAGCTTGGAGAGAGCGGAAAATTGTTCCATATAAAAATTAGAAATACCATACAAGTTCCTGTTAGATTAACAACGGCCCTTACACATTAGTGTATGCTTTTAGGTTAAATGTTGTCTATTTATTGATATATTGGCCTTAGTTGGTACCTGATGCTTCGCTGTTCTAATTAGAACTATCTAAAATGCTATAACTCTGTAAATTTATTTCAGTGCTTCTAGTGTTCACTCCATAATTGGATTTTGGGACCATGGGTTAATAGAAACTTGAACATGCAATTATATGCAACTTTCATTAACCATTCAGCATAGCATGACTTAGATAATAATGTCATTTTATGTTGATCTTATTGATCATAACATAACATGAAATTGTGAAGTAGTTTTATATTCTATTTTTCCAGCAACCCGTATTTACTTACCTAACATGCTTCTTCCATTTCTGCAACGTGAATTTCTTCTACTGCATTTTTTTTGTGATTTTCAAAGCTTCTAATTTCAAATAAAGCTTTCATGAATGAAAAATATTAATACACTTTGTCTTTGTAGAAGGTTCTTCAGGCCGAGGAATAAAGTACACATCATTTAGCCATAAAAAAGAATGCCTTTTGCACCAATGGAGCAAGGTGTCTTTCACTCTCTATATTTTCCATATTTCAGGGTTATTTAGCTATACTGTTCTTTTTTGCGGTATTCTTTATCCGTAAAACCTTTTAAAATGACCTGTAATTTTGGCTTGCACTAAATACTGTAATTCATAACTATAAAACATTTATTTAATGCTAGACTTTGTCAGAAGGCTTGACTATTTCTTCTTCCAAAGAATACAGATTATTCTTGTTCTTATAATGATGTGTATTTTATCAATCATAGTGACATGTAAGATTGTTGCAACATAAGGGCTGAAAACTTCTCTCTTTGAGAGCAGAAAATAATCTTTTAGAGCATCAAAGAGAGTAACCTAGGAGAAACAAACTAGCACCTCACACAAATGTAGCATAGATTAATAAATACAATCATAGAGCATGAACAACATGAGTTATGTGTTTGATCAAGAAGAACTCCATTCACGAAAGGAGGAACAAATAAATTCACGCATGTGGTTCGATCAAGAAGACTTCCATTCACTAGGCAAGGAGAACAAATAAAGTTACCATCAAATGCATAGAGTAGCAAAATAGATCAAATCGTCTTCTTACAAAAACTATTAGGAAAGAATGTAGTAAATCTCACCAAATTTTAAGTTATATTTCTCAGTGACAAGCTAAATAATAAGTCAAGAACTCCTCTTCCCAAATTCCAAGTACAACAACATGCATCTCATTCTTCCATGCCATAATTAGTATGCCACAACCCTTATGTTTTCTCATGCATATGTGGAAGGATAGTGGGGCCCTTTGATTGTTTAAAAATCTCAATCTCCAATATCCCATACGCAACCACACAAGTCATTGAACCATTGCTGCTCTCAAGTACTCTCCAGGAATTCACGCTTGCAACTATTGTCTCAAGAGAGGGAATACCTAGTCAAGATCTCATGCTAAGAATTTGTCTATTATGTGAGATAGAAATACTTATATGATATTTGCCAAAATGCTATTGATTTTTGTTGAAATTTTAGGAAGTTTTTGTTTTAGTATATTTTATTATTAGGCTTTTCATATTTCTAAAACGTAGCATTATAAGTATGTCATAATTCATGTTTTCTTCTTTTATCATTGAGAGTTATTGCTGATTTTATTATATTTCTAATGTGGGAGCTATCCTCATCTATTTATATTGTATTTGTTTTCAATGAAATTGAAGATAAATAAATATTTTTCTTCTCCAAAAAATTACATGGTTTCAACGCCCACCTTCACCTTCAAAATGGTGACCTAATCCCATTGAGAGATCCTCTGCAGATTTCGTGTTCCTCTTGGTTGTGATTTGAGCCAACTGGGAAGGCAATGTGTGGATCGTAGTAGATCTCTCACGATACAGTCGCGATTTGGGTCAGCAAGAAAGGCAATCGGTGGATTGTGGTGTTCAGAGACCCAACGTCTGTCTTTCCTCTAGCTTTGAAACTGCGCAAGTCGAGCTCTCAATGTAGGCCTTCTTTTTGGCAGGGACTTTCTCCTCTACCTCTGCTTCCTTATCTTTCTCTTTCACCATTTGTTTTTTATTCAACAATGGGTTTCTCGGTGTGCTTCTTCTTCGCTGTTTTTTTTCTTGGTCTTTTGCGCCATTGGAATATGTAATTTGAGAGAAAGAGGACTAGTTCCTATTTTTGTTCCTCATCTAGTTTCGACAGAGAAGGCTTCCGTTCCTGAGTACCATGGGCTGGGTAATTAAACTGAATTGATAGTATGTCTATCAAATACTCAATTTGTTTCAACCCCTTCAGCTTCTCCGCAGGAATTGCCCTTATCAATCTCCTCTAGTCAACTTTAAGCGCCAAAATTACTTGCGACCAAAATCATCTCTCCTCTGATGATGCTGTATAAGTCAACGATGATCGGTGCTCGAAAAAATTCTACAATTTCTGCTAGTTCTAGTAATTTCAAAACCAATTTGCTCTACTCATAATGATGCCAGCATTGCAAAAAATCAAGACATACGAAGGAGACATGTTGGGTGCTTCATAGTAAACCTGTAAATTGGAAACCAAAATTTAAATGTGAAGGTCGAATCTACCATGCCAATACTGATACTACCAATTCGGATGCAATATCTTTTACTAAGCAGTAACTACAACACATGCACAAGTTGTTTCAATCTTCAAGATTATGTCTAACTCCGACTTTCCCTTCACCAGAGAAGGATAACTCTTTAATCACTGCATTATTAGGTTATTCTTGGATACTTGATCTTGGCGCAACTTATTATGTGATTGCTTGTTAAAAATTATTCTCATCTTATTGACATTGTGTAGGCAATAAATGTTTAAAATTGTCGATGGTTCCTTCTCAATAATTGTCAGGATGGGAATTGTCAAACTCATCTCGTTGTTAACGCTTTGTGTTGTGTTCCATGTTCTCAATATGTCTTGTAAGTTGTTGTCTATTAGCAAAATTATTTTTGATTATCAGTTTCAAGCTATTCTCTACTCTTTTTGTTATGAATTTCAGGAATTGACCACTGAAAGGATAATTGACAGTGTTAGGAAAGTGATGAACTCTATTATTTTATCGATGGACTTGATACAAATAAACAATGTTAAAGTACATGTTTAAATTTAAATTTTATTTTTAAAGATAACGATATTATGTTATGGCTTTATAGGTTAGTTCATGCTAGTTTCTAGTATTTAAAATTATTTTTCTAATTTATTTCAAAAATAAAATTTTTCATTTTTCCAATGTGAAATCTATCATTTTGCCAAACATCATCATGCACTTTTCCTCCCCAATGTTATAAACCAACTACACATTTTACTCTGATTCATAGTTATATCTGGGGTCTTTGTAAACATCTTATTTACTTTGAAAAAAATGGTTTGTTGCTTTTATTGATAATCACACAAGGTCAAGTTAAATCTATTTAATGAAAGAAAAATCTGAAGTGAAATTAATTTTCAAAAACTTTTATACTATGGTACAAACATAGTTTCATAAAACTATTCAAATCTTACGGAGCGATAATATCCGAGAGTATTTCAAAAATAATTTGGGTCAATTTTTTTGAAAGAATAGTTCATCAAATCTGTTTTATCGACACCCGCAACAAAGTAATGTGGTTGAAATAAAAACAAACACTTATTTAAGTAACTTAGGCATTGCTATTTATAAAACATTGCCAAAGCATCTTTGGGGTGAATCTGTTTTTACTATTACATTTCTCATTAATAGAACACCTCATAGAGCTTTGAATTTTGAAACACCTTTTGATGTTTTCATAAAATTTACCCAACAAATCGGCTTTCATTTTTTTACCTTTAAGAGATTTGGGTGTATTGCATTTGTTCACATTCATAGTTATCATCAACGAAAATTTGAATCCTGATTCATAAAATGTTTGTTTGTTAGTTATGCTCTCACTCAAAAGTGATAAATATTTTGATACTATTTCTAAAAAAATGTTCGTCTTCATGGATATCATCTTTTTTGAATTACAATCATTTTTTTCAACTCATCTTCAAAGGAGGGAGGGACAATAAAAATTTGATTATTATTTTTCAAGACTTTCTTCAAACCAAAGACTCACAAATTAATATCTCCCCAACATTGATTGCTCAACCTGAAAATCCAAGATATATTATATCAGGCGATGGGCGAGTTTTTTATATGCTGAAGTTGATTCATATCTTTCTACAGTGTCATCGCATGATACTCATAATCCTATAACAACAAATAAATAGAAAACAGAAAAAGAACTACGATATTGGAATTGTTTGACACTGTCTATTCGCGACAAAGGGCAACTAAAAATAGGAGTATATGAATCATTTGCGTTGCCTAGAATCCATGAATCCTCCAGGTAATATCCTCATTTAGACTTTACCTCATGATCAGGTCATTTCAATCTCAAATTCTAAGTCTTCTAATCCTAAACCCGAGTCTAGCCCTAATCCTAAATTTAAGGATACCGTTCATCCCATTGCTGCTTGTAAGGGAGTGAGGTCTTGCACACAACATTCATTATCTTCTATGTCATATGAAAATCCTTCAATTTTTTGAGCTTTTACCACACAATTGTCTTGTGTGGATATTCCTAATATTGTGCAAGTTGCTCTGAAAATTTCTAAGTGAAAGAAGATTACTTTTGGGGAGATGAAAGCTCTGCAAAAAAAAAATGACACATAGGATTTGGTTGATCCACTTATAGGGAAGAAGATTGTCGATGTAAATGAGTGTTTATAATCAAGTATAATTTTGATAGCTCTCTTAAACGATATAAAACTCAACTAATTGTCAAGGAATTCATTCAAAGTTATGGCATCAATTGCCAAGATATATTCACTCCAGTCGTAAAATTTAATTCTATAAGAGTTTTTCTATCACTTGCAACTATTGCAGTAGTTGGATATAAAAAATACATATCTCAATGGGGACATAGAAGAAGAAGTGTATATAGATGCATCTCCATGATTTAGTTAGAAATTTGGTATAAAAATGTGTAAACTAAAAAGTTCTTATACTGGTTGAAGCAGTCATCGAATATGTGGTTTTGAAAAATTTACACAATTTGTTAAAAGTTGAGGGTATACTCGAGGGCAAAACGATAATACAATGTTCTTCAGACATTCAAAGGATGTAAAATGGCCATATTGATTGTGTATATGGATGAGATAATTTTCTCTATGGATGACATATATGAAATTAATCGGTTGAAGACTTCCCTCTCATCAATTTTTTAGACCAAAACTTAATATTTCTGTGAGATGTTCTTGGCATGGAGGTTGTTAGATCAAAGAAATAGATTATTGTTTCCCGATGGAAGTATGTTATTGTTCTTCTAAAGGAAACTAAGATGTGTGGCTGTAGACTTGCAGAAACTCCAGTTGATCCCCATCAGAAACATGGAGATGAGAAGGAAGAATACAACTCGATATTAAAAAATAGTGGGAAACTTGATAAATTTATCACATACACGATCAAATATCTTCTTTGTTGTAAGGTTGGTGTGTCAATTTTTGCATTCGTCC